CTTGGGAATTTGGGCGCTTGGGAATTCGGGCGCTTGGGAATTTGGGCGCTTGGGAATTTGGAAGCTTTGGAATTCGGGCGCTTGGGAGTTCGGGAGCTTGGGAATTTGGAAGCTTGGGAATTCGGGAGCTTGGGAATTCAGGCGCTTGGGAATTCGAGCGCTTGGGAATTTGAAAGCTTGAGAATTTGTAGTAATTTGTGATCCTCCCCAAAGACTCCTTACTCGAATTGATGATAGCTTGATCCACAAACGCAGAAGGTATCTGAAAACCGTATAAATCGTTGCGTTATCGAGTGCGTCACCGATGGGACTAAACATAGAGCGCGTGTAAACAGTGATACGATACGACGTTGACAGATTCACTTGGCACAAAGGATTCACCGAAACAAATATTGGCGGAGAATACCGGTAGCTTCGCGATAAATTTCGAACAAATCGCGCTGATTAGGCGGATCATTTTCCATCTGTCCCGACCTTCTGTCAAACACCGGCAAATCCGCCGGATGTTCAGACCGACGATTAAAACCACAAAAGCACGGTAGGAGATTTAAAAATTAATCAGAGCGAAATTCATTGCGACGAAAAGGTAATTGCGTTTGGTGGCCGCGGAATGATTAATCGTAGGAAAATTGGATTTTCTTTGAAATTGGAGATTTGAGGATGGAAAAAAAGGGACAGGCTGGATATTAGTGGGACAATCGACGTCACGCAATAGCGGGTTTAATGATTTCCTCTTGAAACGCGCGCGTATTTCGCGATAGCTGCGCAACGCCTCAGAATTGCACACGAACCTAGAGCGTGAGAAACTTTGGTTATTACGATTAGATCTACTAGACCACGATATCACGTAGTACTACGTTCAAATTTTTGGGTTCGAAGTTCAAGAAATTTGAATGAATATCGTTTGCAATGTTATCATACATTGATTCGTGTTTTTGGAGGGTTTAAAGTGGCAGAACGTAGTACTACGTGTAAGGATTCTGAGGTTAATTTGTCGAAAATATAGCCATATAGTTGTGGTAACTTGTTGGACGTTCATGCGTAAATTAATTATTGCTGTTGAAGGTTAGAAGTGGTAGAACGTAGTACTACGTGAAAGGCTTCAGGATGTAATTTGTCGAAAATATAGCCATATAGTTGTGGTAACTTATTGGACTTTCATGTGTGAAGTAATTTTTCTTACTGAAGGTTTGAAATGGTAGAACGTAGTACTACGTGTACAGCTTCTAGCTTTAATTTCTCATAAATATGGGTATGCAGCTGTGGTAACTTGTTAAGCTCGTATATATAGGTGAATTGTGCTAATTCTAGAACTTGGAATTATAGCACGTAGTACTACGTGCAGTGGTAGTTCTCTAATTTGTCAGAAATATATACATAGTTTTGGTAAATTATTGTATGTATACATAACTCGAACGTCTACAGACTGATTTTCATTACTGAAGGAGTTGGAATGTTAGAACGTAGTACTACGTTAAGTAGCCATAACTTCCTTAATTTGTAAGATACACTCTTGCTTCAAAGCTCTATGAATTCAGGAACAAAGCATCGATATAGTCCTTCGAATTCGACAAAATTAGAGAACGTAGTACTACGTCCATTACCTGTAACTTCCTTAATTTTTAAGATACACTCTTGCTTCAAAGTTCTATGAATTCAGGAACAAAGCATCGATATAGTCCTTCGAATTCGTCAAAATTAGAGAACGTAGTACTACGTTCATTACCTGTAACTTCCTTAATTTTTAAGATACACTCTTGCTTCAAAGTTCTATGAACTCAGGAACAAAGCATCGATATAGTCCTTCGAATTCGTCAAAACTAGAGAACGTAGTACTACGTCCATTACCTGTAACTTCCTTAATTTTTAAGATACACTCTTGCTTCAAAGTTCTATGAATTTACCAAGAACAAAATATTCATATAACCCTTCGAATTCGTCAAAATTAAAGAACGTAGTACTACGTCCACCCTAACTTTCTCCATACGCTATAAATTTTTGTGAACCACAAGAACAAAGATTCGAAACAGTGTATGGGAATTCGGGGACGTAGTACTACGGTAAATTCGAAGAGAAACATAAGTATGGATCGCGTCGGCCGGCGAAGATCAATTTGGCAGAAGTAACGGGAGACCGAGTGTCTGGTTGGCAGAGGAGGAATTTCTACATATAGAGGTAGATGCGAGTCGCGAAACGATTCAGTCTTGTTCGAGCATCGCGACCGCGGTTACGGAAGTCGAGGATCAGTTCGTCCACGAGCTGTTCGCGTCGCTTGAAAACAGTGACCGAAGGATACGACACACGTGTACCACCCCCGTGTTATTCTTCCTAGTCCTCAAACGTGAGTCTCTATAAAAATACTCACTTGATTTTAATAGATCGAATCCCTGCATTTAGTCACGAAGGTGACACGAGATAACGATTTGTTTAAAAATAAGTATTTCATAAATTATGAAGATGTCAGAATTTTCGTCGAGGAAGGAAGACATGATTTATTAACCGTCGTGTTTTCAACGTATTACTACGTTCTTTAGTTTATTTATCTTGACATTCGTGGAACGTTAACGCGCTTATCTGAGTGTCTTTCGTGATAATTTATTCAACCGAACTTAACGTATTAACTGAAGGGGATTCGACCGAATAATTATAACCGGAATTAAAATTCAAATTTAAACGTATTATTAACTTTGTTGTACACGAAAAGATATTATAAAGCGAGGAAAAGATAAATTTTTGGCAACGGTCGATGGCAGTAACACAGAAACGAGCTCGTAAACAGGAAATATTGATCCTTTTTCCCTGCTCTTGTTCCGCGTACCGAAAGTTATCTTACGCCGTTGTTAATTGTCTAATTGCCTGAGCAATTTACAACCGTTCCATTGATATACGATCGTATCGCGGCTAAAGCTTCGAACCAGGAAGGCTGCTCGATATTTACGCGATCGTATTTCATCAGTTAAGTGCCTAGGAATACCATCGACGTTACCCCCTTTCTTTAATACCGATTGCATTTTATCCTCGTAAACATGCGATATTCGAAATTCCAGAATTCGAGATGGAACAAACTGGTATCTCGATAATACCGACCACGACGATCGCCGATAACGCCGCCGGAAAACCTAAAAGCATCGGCATCACACTCAGGCCTGGCGACAGTCTACAGGCTGCGAAAGAAAAGCTCAAAACACCATGTAAGTACTCGGTCATTTAATAAAAAACACCTCAAAATCAAGTATACGGAACGTAAAATCGTAACTGAAAATTTTTATCTTGGGTTGCGATGATTTATTGAGCGAGACGCACCAGGTGCGTCACCCATAGCAACAGCACAGGACGCACCAGGTGTCATTCGATGCACCAGAATAGGCGACAAGTGACTGAAATGAGAACTATCGATATAAAATCGAAACTGAAAATTTTTATCTTGGGTTGCGATGATTTATTGAGCGAGACGCACCAGGTGCGTCACCCATAGCAACAGCACAGGACGCACCAGGTATGTCATTCGATGCACCAGAGTAAGTGACAAATTACTGAAATTAGAACTATCGACATAAAATCGAAACTGAAAATTTTTATTTTGAGTTGCGATGATTTATTGAGCGAAACGCACCAGATGCGTCACCCATAGCAACAGCACAGGACGCACCAGGTGTGTCATTCGATGCACCAGAATAGGTGACAAATTACTGAAATTAGAACAGGGAGCACACAAGATGTGTCGTGAATTGTACTACAAGACATGGACGCATAAGGTGTGTCATCAGTTACAGCGAGACAATGGTACAGTATTGTTAATTACATTCAGAAACATCGCACATGTTTGCCATCAACACGTGCATTTGGATAGATAGTACATACGATGGACACTGTATGTCGACTGTGTCAGAAGAGATAACATAGGACACACTTGGTGCGTCAGCAAGAACATAGGACGCACCAGGTGTGTCATCTATTGCATTGGGACAGTAAAGGACGCATCTGCTGCGTCATAAATTATATTTAGCTAGGATAAGACACACGTGGTGTGTCATTAGTTGTATTAGAATATTGTAGGACGCAAGCGGTGCGTCAGGAATTGTATCGAGGTAAAAGAGGACACACCTGCTGCTTCACCAAAGGCATTTAACTATCATAGGACGCACTAGGTGTGTCATCAATTGTGTCAGGGTAAGGAGGACGCATCTGCTGCGTCATAAATTATATTCGGCTAGAATAAGACGCACATGGTGTGTCATCAGTTGTATTAGAATATTGTAGGACGCAAGTGGTGTGTCAGGAATTGTATCGAGGTAGAAGAGGACACACCTGGTGCGTCACCAAAGGCATTTAACTAATATAGGACGCACTAGGTGTGTCATCAATTGTGTCAGGGTAAGGAGGACGCATCTGCTGCGTCATAAATTATATTCGGCTATAATAAGACGCTCCTGGTGCGTCATTAAGTGTATTCAGCTAACATGGACTGTACATAATGTATCGTTACTCGTATTAGGATAGTAAAGAATGTATCTGATGCGTCACCAAGTACATTCAACCAACACAGTACACACCGGGTGTGTCAGAAAGTAGCGAAACCATTCCGGTGATTCTAATAATGATTTCAAAGCTGTCACACGCGTTTCTCGCCTTCGACGTCTCCCTGAAATATATTTAGTTTCGCATTTCATCGGAGGAGCGAAAACCTAAAAATAAATTTCTTGAATAACCGCTGTTACATTGGAGTGCAACGTTCAAGGCCTTCGAGTAGCGGCACGTCGAACATCGTGGAACGAAAGAAATTGGCGATAAGTTCGTAACAGGTTCTCAATTTCGCCGAGAGGTTCGTTCACCCCGGTAAAACGGGGAAGAAAGAGAAACAGACTGTCGCAATGAAATTATTGGATAAAAATCGAATCGAGTTAAGTAGAAAGGTGAACGCTGGCTAGTTGGCTGGATCTCCAGGTGAAAGAAGAAAGTGGCAGCGACACGCTATGCATTTCGGGAAATCGGGTTACCGGCGGATGTTGCATCCGATCGATCGAGACTCGCTCGGAAAGTTTTGAGAATTTAGATCTAGGACGTCCGCGATAAGCCTAGATAATCGAATAGGCGATTCTCAGAACTTTCGGCGCGAGGCGCCTCCAGCTGGAGGCTCGAGCAACAGATGTCCCATTAGCGTGAAAAACGAGAGAATAATTTGCATGGATGTCTGAATACTCGTAATATCCATTGTTATACAAGCGTTTGTGAGCGAAACCCGTTTGACGGATGTTAAACATCTGTTATGCCTGTTTCTGTCACTAATTTCCTCATTTAGCGACACGCGAAAGGTATCCTGTAACAATACGACGCAAACATCGCGAACCATAACAATATCAGCCAATTAAGGGCACCGTTATCCGGTGTCAACGTAAACGAAAGATGAACGGGCTAATGGCGTTCATTATCGGATCGGTAATAATTAAACGGAGCATCAATTAACGACCGCGGAGAGTTGAATTTTAAACGGATCCTCGACAGCCCGCTGATAAGTCCGTGATCCCGAGCGTTTTCGCGGCCGCAATCGATATGATTTCGGTGCGAACGGTTCTCACGATCGGCCAAGAGATGCAAATGGCACGGAACAATGTACTTTGTTCTGGCTGGTTACGATTTCGTTCCGCTGGAAATGTTGTGAGCGTACGGCCACGTGACTGGAACGTTTCCCTCGTTTTCCACGTTCCAAATGCTTTCGCGAGAAACTTTCTTTCCTGTCACGGGATACGCTCTCCATAGGAAAGCAGCGAGACCCATAACAAACGAAAAAACCTCTCTGTGGAGCATGAAAGGTTGCCTTCGGCGTAGAAACCTTCGCTCGCGATTAACACGTGATTGATTCCTGTCTTTGTCGACGTCTGCCATTTTAATTCATATTGACGGTGTGTAGGTAGAATTTGGGAATTTTTAATTTAAGTTTAATTTAGATTTAGACTTTTCAAGCACTCGAGCTTTCTATTATTATTAATTTACACAAGTCAAGTCTCTTCCTCTCCTTATATTGCCATTTTCCTTAGTTAAACAACCATGTACCGTATCGTCCAATTTCATTCTCAACATACATTGCCATTTCTTTTACATAAATTGTCGTTCATCATAATTTCCACGGTCCTCTCCTTATATCGCCGTTTTCTTTGACTAAACATCCATGCAAAATTTTCTATGTTTTCTTCTCTGTGCATCACCATTTTTCTTGTATAAACTACTTCTTACGTTCTCCGTGATTTTCAGTGTCCTCTCCTTATATCGCCGTTTTCCTCAACTAAACCATGCACAATTCTCAATGTCTTCCTCTCTATACATTACCATTTTACTTATATAAACTACTTTTTACTACCTCCATAATTTTCAGTGTCCTCTCCTTATATCGCCGTTTTCCTCAACTAAACCATGCACAATTTTCAATGTCCTCCTCTCTCTACATCACCATTTTTCTTATATAAACTACTTCTTACGTTTTCCACAATTTTCAGTGTCCTCTCCTTATATCGCCGTTTTCCTCAACTAAACCATGCACAATTTTCAATGTTCTCCCCTCTCTACATCACCACATTTCTTATATGAACTACTTCTTACGTCCTCCCTAATTTTCAGTGTCCTCTCCTTATATCGCCGTTTTCCTCAACTAAACCATGCACAATTCTCAATGTCTTCCTCTCTATACATTACCATTTTACTTATATAAACTACTTTTTACTACCTCCATAATTTTCAGTGTCCTCTCCTTATATCGCCGTTTTCCTCAACTAAACCATGCACGATTTTCAATGTCCTCCTCTCTATACATTACCATTTTACTTATATAAACTACTTTTTACTACCTCCATAATTTTCTGTGTCCTCTCCTTATATCGCCGTTTTCCTCAACTAAACCATGCACAATTTTCAATGTCTTCCCCTCTCTACATCACCATTTTTCTTATATAAACTACTTCTAACGTTCTCCATAATTTTCAGTGTCCTCTCCTTATATCGCCGTTTTCCTCAACTAAACCATGCACAATTTTCAATGTCTTCCCCTCTCTACATCACCATTTTTCTTATGTATAAACCACTTTTTACGTCCTCCATAATTTTCATTGACCTCTCCCTATATCGCCGTTTCCCTAAATCTGTGATTCCCGAGTGTACGGCCCTGTATTAGAGCATCGGAACGCTGTCGTTTCGACGACCGGTCTGCGGACATTCACCGCGAACTTGACCCACTGTCACACTTGTACTCGACATTCTATTTGCGGAAGCGTCTGCGAGCGACACAGAGGTGGTCGCGCGGTTAATTTACTGATTTGTTTGCGGTATCATCCTCGTGGAAGATAAGACCAAAATTTCAGCTTAAGCAATCCTCTTAACGCTGGAAGTCTTTGCAGCTTTCGAATACTGCACTGACAGTGTGACTCGAGTTGTAAATTAATTCACTTTTACTTTGTATCGTTTTGATCTTCGTGGGTTGTCAATGACCCATGACTTCTCGTCAAATCAATATTTCATCGATTTTCGTTCATAAGTAGTAAAATTCCGTAAGATAAGTTTATCTTGAAATAAGAGTAAAATATAAAAATGCTGTCTTGAAGTATAAAATATTCTGTTATCGCCATTCTCTATCGAATAGAGAAGTTTCAAGTGATACTTGAAAGTAAGAAAAAGGAGAGGGTCACGTGACCCACTTGAAGCGAATGCGTTCCAGATTCCTGCACAAGTTTCAGACGAATTAAACGGTTTATCAGTACGGAAAGTTCGAGACGAAATTGCTTTGATTCAATTAGACGGGACAATTTTTTCCGGCTGGAATTCAGGGAATTCGGGATGCTCGAAGTGTGTTGTCGAAAGTACGGAAACGATGTTAACTGGAGCGTGCAACGCTCGAGTAAGAAGCAGTCCTCGATCTTGGAAGCTTTCGCGCGTATTGCAGTTAAATCGCTACATCGACCGAGCGGCAATTATATCGCGACAAGACAGAAATTAATTCCGCACGCTCTCTTCCCTGTTCGTAATTTCTTTTAATACAATATTCATCGTATTATAAATTCGTCGATAAATTCAGGAACTTTACGTAATCGAGGACTGCCAGTAAATATTGAATTAAAAACTTTCACTTAAGAAATCGAAACGCAACAACTTAAATACTTTTTCCGCACGTGGAACTTAAAAATGAGTCGCCATTTTCTTCGTTACCGACCGTCGATAAAGAAGACTCATTGTACTTTGTTCGCTAGAGAGCGCGACTGTTTGGCGCAGCGAGTTGCCACAGAAATCAAAGAAAAACGATATTTTCCGCTCGAAAGGCCGACTATCCTTTCACTGTTTTCTAAATTCTTCACTGTTGCCATCACTTTTCCGATCCTTAATTGCGAAGGGTAACTTTCATCGTAATTACCGACCACGTCGTAATTCCGCTCGCAATTAAACCAAGGAGATAGCATCGTGGCAATAATCTGACGGAAAATTTCGTTTCCATTCGCTCATTCATAAAAATACACGTTTCCTCGTTTTTCGTTTCTCGATTTTATCAAGCATTTTTTATGTAACGCCTTTATGTAACAATTTAAAATTCCGCGAAATAAATCAGAGGAAGATTCCGACTGACTGAAAAAATCGGTTGTTTTCATTAATGAAAGTCGGTTGTTTAATCGGCAAACGTCAATGACTGATCACTGTCGCTCTCGATAGGGATGCTAATGGAAATTGCATGCGACACGTGTTGCCTTCTAATTATATCCGGTCGGCACACGGTTAATCACATGAGAACTCGGCCGTAATTCTGGGCCGAACGTGCTCCTGCATATTGTCGCGTGTCGCGAAAGTACACTCAATGAAAACCGTACAATGTGGTTCTATCACTTTCAATCGTGTAGGCCATTGACTTACGAGCGTTTAGAACGTAGGAATCTAGAGAGAGAGGGATTAGGGAGGGTTCAGAGCTTAGGACCTAGGGAGAGTCCACATAGGACTTGGGACTTGGACTCCTTACTAAGAATCCTACTAAGGACTTAGGATCTGTAGCCCTAACTAAGAGTTCCACTAAGGACTTAGGACCTGTAGTCCTAACTAAGAGTTCCACTAAGGACTTAGGTCCTGCAATTCTAACTAAGAGTCCTACTAAAGACTTAGGACCTGTAGTTCTAACTAAGAGTCCTACTAAGGACTTAGAACCTGTAGTCCTAACTAAGAGTCCCACTAAGGACTTAGGAGCTACAGTCCTAACTAAGAGTCCTACTAAAGACTTAGGACCTGTAGTCCTTACTAAGAGTCCCACTAAGGACTTAGGAGCTACAGTCCTAACTAAGAGTCCTACTAAGGACTTAGGTCCTGCAGTCCTAACTAAGAGTCCTACTAAAGACTTAGAACCTGTAGTCCTTACTAAGAGTCCCACTAAGGACTTAGGACCTATAGTTCTAACTAAGAGTCCCAGTAAAGACTTAGGACCTATAGTCCTTACTAAGAGTCCCACTAAGGACTTAGGACCTGCAGTCCTAACTAAGAGTCCCACTAAGAACTTAGGTCCTGCAGT